TTTCTTTCAAGATAAGATCCAATCTTCCTATTCCAATCCCAAAAAACTATTTTCCATCTTCTCCACCCTCTTGGACCCTCCAAAAGCCCCTCCCCCCTCCTCACTTCTGTCAAGCGACTTTGTTACCCACTTTGAAAAAAAGGTTGATGATATTCGCTCTTATTTTTCTGACTCACCTTTACTCACCGCTGGGTCACCAGACCCTCCTTCCACCCACACACTAACATCCTTTTCCCCTCTCTCTCCAAGTGAGGTTCTCACCCTCATTACCTCTGCCCGCCCTACCACCTGTCCTCTGGACCCCATCCCTTCAAACCTCCTTCAGACTATCGCTCCTGATATTCTACCATTTCTCACCCATTTCATCAACACTTCTCTAACTTCTGGTCACTTTCCAAACAGTCTCAAGGAGGCAAGAGTAAACCCTCTCCTAAAGAAACCCACTCTCAACCCGTCAGATGTTATAAACTACAGGCCTGTCTCTCTACTCCCGTTCCTGTCTAAATCACTTGAACGCGCTGTCTTTAAACAACTCTCCTGTTATCTCCATCAGAACAACCTTCTGGATCTGCACCAGTCTGGTTTCAAGGCAGGTCACTCCACAGAAACTGCTCTCATTGCTGTCACTGAGGAACTGCACACTACCAAAACTGCATCCCTCTCCTCTGTCATCATCCTGTTGGACCTGTCTGCTGCATTCGACACAGTGAATCATCAGATCCTCCTTCGCACTCTCCAAAAACTTGGAGTTTCAGGCTCTGCACTTCCCCTCCTCACCTCATACCTCAAAGACCGTACCTACAGGGTGACTTGGAGAGGGTCTGAGTCCGACCCTTGTCAATTAACTACAGGGGTACCTCAGGGCTCTGTTCTTGGTCCCCTCCTCTTCTCCCTGTACACAAACTCGCTCGGATCAGTCATTAGCCCGCATGGTTTTTCATACCACTGCTACGCTGACGACACCCAATTAATTCTGTCCTTTCCCCGCTCAGAGACCCAGGTCGTCGCATGCATCTCTGCTTGTCTAGCTGACATCTCTCAGTGGATGTCTGCTCATCACCTCAAGCTCAACCTTGACAAGACTGAGCTGCTCTTCCTTCCGGGAAAAGATTGTCCCACTCTTGACCTAACAATCAACATCGGCACCTCAGTTGTTTCCCCGATTCAGACTGCAAGGAATCTGGGTGTGACCCTAGATAACAACCTGTCCTTCACTGCAAACATCGCTACTACAACCCGTTGCTGCAGATACACGCTTTACAACATCAGGAAGATACGTCCCCAGCTGACACAGAAAGCCACGCAGGTTCTGGTCCAGGCTCTCGTCATCTCACGCCTAGACTACTGCAACTCCCTCCTAGCTGGTCTACCTGCATGTGCCATCCGACCTCTGCAGCTCACCCAGAATGCAGCGGCTCGTCTGGTCTTCAACCTTCCTAAATTTTCCCACACCACTCCGCTCCTCCGCTCCCTTCACTGGCTTCCGGTAACTGCTAGAATCCACTTCAAGACACTGGTACTTGCTTACCATGCTGCGAATGGATCTGGCCCTTCGTACATCCAGGACATGGTTAAACCGTACACCCCAGCGCGTGCACTACGCTCTGCATCAGCCAAACGACTCGCTGCACCCTCGCTGCGAGGGGGACCCAAGTTCCCATCAGCAAAAACACGTGGGTTTGCTATCCTGGCTCCAAGATGGTGGAATGAGCTCCCCATTGACATCAGGACAGCAGATAGCTTGCACATCTTCCGGCGCATACTGAAAACTCTTCTCTTTCGACTCCACTTCGAGCGATAGATTTATTAACAAAGCACTTATATACTAATAAAGGACCAGCTTATCTAAAGCCAGTTGAGTAGCACTTGAAATGTTTGGCTCTATGAAACCTCATGTACTTATATGATTCTGTTTTCTTCAAGGTTGTGTCTTCTTGGTCGAATGCACTTATTGTAAGTCGCTTTGGATAAAAGCGTCAGCTAAATGCAATGTAATGTCATGTAAATCCAAGCACAACTACACCATTTCTCGGAAGCAAGTGAGCAGGGGTACGGCACAGTAAGCTACTTGAGACTGGTGAACCACAATAACAACATTCACGTGGCATTCATGATGGGAAATGCAAGAGTAGCTCCTCTCAAGAAGATCACAATCCCCAGGATGGAGCTTGCTGCTGCAGTGCTGGCTACAAGAGTGGACACATTACTCAGAACAGAGTTGCAACTACAGTTGGAAAGCTCTATGTTTTGGACTGATAGCCAATCTGTGCTCAAATACATTGCAAACCAAAACACAAGGTTTCACACATTTGTTGCAAACAGGATCTCCATCATCCCAGAGATAACCCAATGGCACTATGTGAACACAAAGGTCAATCCTGCTGATGTCGCCTCTAGAGGACAAAAGGCCGACACATTTATGGAGAATAGAACATGGATCCATGGCCCAGAAATGCTCTGGAAGTCAGAAAAGGACTGGCTGCTGTTTCCCCTGGAATCCATCTCTCTCTCCTGCGATGATTTAGAGGTCAAAATAAATGCTATTATCAGCACAGTTATAGTCGCAGAAAATCCTACAGGCAAGCTACTCATGCATTTCTCCAGCTGGAGAAAACTGAAAGTTGCAGTAGCATGGATCCTGAAGTTCAAAGAAGTCTTGAAACTGCTCGTTCAAAGGAGAAAAGAGCTTATTTCCACTTTAAATGACTCCAACACCGATGCTCAAAACAAAAGCAATGTTGAACAGAAAATAGAAAACATAACATGACATGGGTGGACAGACCATTGTTCTGGAAGATCTTGAGAAGGCAGAAAACTCCATCATATGCCAAACCCAAAGACAGTATTTTCCAGAGGAAATGACAGCACTGCAAACAACAAAACGTGGTGTCAAAAGGACAAGCCGCCTCTACAAGCTTGATCCAGTGTTAAAGGATGGAGTGCTAAGAGTGGGAGGACGCCTGAGGAGGGCAGCTATGCCAGAAGAAACTAAGTTCCCTGTCATACTGCCAAAAAACTGTCATGTGTCAACTCTCATATTAAGGCACATGCATGAAAGAACTGGACATGGAGGAAGAAACCACATCCTCTCTGAAGTTAGGAAGAGGTATTGGATAATCAAAGCCAACTCTGCTGTAAGAAAGATATTGGGAGATTGTGTTTTGTGCAGACGACAAAGAGCCAAAGTTGGAGAGCAGAAGATGGCTGACTTGCCACAGGAAAGGCTTGAGCCAGACATGCCTCCATTTACCAATGTTGGTGTGGACTACTTTGGCCCTATTCAAGTCAAAAGAGGATATACCACATTAAAGAGGTACGGAGTGCTGTTCACGTGCATGACAAGCAGAGCTGTGCATATTGAGGTCGCCAGCTCACTTGATACAGACTCATGTATCAACGCTTTGAGAAGATTCATATGCAGAAGAGGTCAAGTGAAACTTATAAGATCTGACAATGGGACCAATTTTGTTGGAGCTCAGAGAGAGTTGAAGGAAGCCCTCTCCATTCTGAACCAGCACATAATTCAGGAAACTCTGCTGCAAAAGGGCATAAAGTGGAGTTTCAACCCCCCAGAAGCATCCCACCATGGAGGAGTATGGGAGCGTCTGATTAAGTCTGTGAGGCAGGTTCTCTATTCTGTTTTGAAGCAGCAGACTTTGGATGAAGAAGGGCTACAAACCCTTTTATGTGAGGTAGAGGCCATTTTGAACAGTCAACCAATCACAACAGTCTCAAATGACCCTCAAGACCTGGAGCCTCTAACCCCAAATCACATCTTGCTCTTAAAAACCAAGCCAATTCTGCCCCCTGGAGTTTTTGACAAGAAGGACCTGTACGTAAGACGCCGATGGAAACAGGTGAAATACATGGTAGACTTATTCTGGAAACGCTGGTGCCGGGAATACTTACCCCTCATGCAAGAAAGACAGAAATGGTGCAAGGAGAAGAGAAGCTTTAAACCTGGAGATGTAGTAATGGTAGTTGACCCTACTGCTCCCCGTAGCTCTTGGATCCTGGGAAGAGTGCTAGAAGCTATGGCAGACACTAAAGGACTGGTTCGAGCTGTCAAAGTTAAAACACAGACCAGTGTGCTGAAGAGGCCAATCACCAAGATATGTCTGCTGTTAGAATGTGAAGAGTGACGGCAGCAAAGAGTCTTCTTCCGCTGATGGCACGATGATATCATGTAGACAGGATGAGTAATACCACACAACTCATATTGATAGATGACTGGATTCATGAAATGAATAGAAATCCTGACTGTAGGCTCCTTTCTTTGTATATTTGATAATTGTTTTTGTGGTACTCCAAAATACAATTAGAGGCCGGTTATGAAGGAGCCATTTCCTTAGATTATAGTATCTTATCTTTTTAAAGTATAACCTGAGATTCTGTGGTGTATGTTATTTATTTATTTATTATTTGAGTGCGTTACTCTGCAGGTCGAGGTGTTGCAGCATAAAAGGAGAGGTGCTGCAGCCTAGTGGTGTGGCTGACTGAAGCAAACAGTTTTTAGACCTTGCTGGTTGGGAGCGTCACAGCTTGGTTCTTCTGCCTTTAACATTGAAATATCAGTTTATATGACAAATAGTTTGTTTAAAAACGTTTATTTATTTTTGCCTTTTTTGGAATAAACTATCTTACTATTCAATCGCATCTGGACATTTATATTTTTTCTCTCAAACTACAAGCGTCTATTCGTCGGTCAGCCCCACGAGTGAGCCACAAACAAAGGACAAAAAACAAATTGATATCGTGGTCACTACAATATTATTATTTTTACTTAAGTATAACATCTGAGTACTTCTCCCCCATCTGCCATTTACACCAAGGCAAATTCCTCGTATGTGTAAACATACTTGGAAATAAAACTGATTCTGGTGTAGTCAGGTAATAATTCTACATATCACATTTATTTTATCCATTAGGCATTTAACAACTGATTGTGTATCCTTAGATGTCAGACCTGCATTAACCAATGACATGTTCTCTCTCCCTAGGCATCTGACCGGGGTGCAGCAGGATCTCTGGACTGACCCGATCATGAAGTCCCAGAAGGCCCAAGGTGTCCTACCAACTTCTCCCTGCCCACGCAAGCGCCGCTTCACCCTACGCAGCAAAAAGAAGAAGTACGGGGTGATCCGAGGCAAGCTTCGCATCCGCTCCATTCCCGGAGCCTTCCTGGTGCTGGGGGTCATTGTGGTGGTTGTTGGCACGGCGCTGGCTGTGGCGGGGTACTGGCCCTACCGGATATCCAGGGTGCCGCTCCTGGGAGCCGCTGAGGGGGACGGTATCCCTGAGTCGCAGAGTTCCGGCTGGAGTATGGGAGCAAAGAGCCTCCTCTACACAGCCAGCTTCATCCACAGTGAACGGATGAAGCTGCTGGGGCCCGTCATCATGGGAGTGGGCCTCTTCATCCTCATATGTGCCAACACTGTCCTGTACGAGAACCGGGACAGGGAGACGCAGATGTTGCTGGCTCAGATGCACAGCATGATCTGCTCCGTGTCCGCGGTTGTCCCCTCGGTGGACCTCAAAGACATTGCTGTAGCCAACTCCATGTCCAGACACTACGAGTGGCTGAGCAGTTTACCCGCTGCCCACCTCAACATCCTCTGTGTGCAGCAGCTCACCAGCTCCGAGCCCCTGCTGCGCACAAGACCCCCCGCAGAGCAGGAGGACCAGGCAGAGGGCATCTACCAGCAGCAGGCCGTGCTCCAGACAGAAGCCCTCCACCACCAGGAATCAGAGTCTCCGTCTTCCCTCCACTCCTCCCACTCTAACTCCTGTAACTCCAGTCAGACTGATTTGAACACGCAGTTCGGAGCTGATGACGGTGCCAGCTTCACTCGCCCGCTCGTCAACAACTTCCTGCAGTCGGCCAGCTCCATGTCCACCCTGGACGAGATGGAACACCACGCCGCGCAGCCGAGGCGCTGCCACAGTATGAGCTACAGGACTAACCCGTACACAGCTCCACCTGTGCGTCTAGAGAGTGGAGAGGAGGGGGAGATAAATCAGCAGGTGGTCTCAGGTAGAGAGGCTTCCTCAGATGTTTGCGTGAACATCCCTTGGGCGGTTGTGGATGCCGCAGAGGAGCAAACTCGCCGGAGCTGGCCTCGGCTGGACCTGGGTGGCGGGAGGCGGTACCTGAAGCTGGGGAACAAGGAGGACTCTGTGGACCGGCTGCTGGGGCAGCTGGAGCAGCAGTGTGTCCAGTGGGATAAGAGTTTTGGATCTGGGCCTTTCCAATGATCGGCAGATTTTTATGGTGAACTCTGGATACAAACACCCTTGCAACCATCATGACATCTTCCTGTGGATTCTATATTTTGATGGGGGCAGAGACACTGAGCCCTGGATCATATAGAGTACAGTATTTCTCACAGGATCTTCCAAAACTAGAGCACTTTCGCAATCTTCAGTGGAATAATAATATGCAGAGGTTACAGTCTGTGCTTGGCTTCCAATCTGATCTGCCAGATGTTTTATATAATTAAAGGAACAATGCAGGCTCTGCACTGTCACAGATGAGCAAAAAGGTTTGACACACCGTTTACTTCTGCAATATGGGGTTAGCAGCAATGCCAGAAATTAACTTGTTTCTCAAAACAGAGCTGTGTTTGACAGTTTCTAGGACACAGTATGCAGCAGAGATAGAAGGGCGATGCGTTTCACTGTGCAAACAACTCTGAACCAAACTACCTGGACCTGAGTCCATAAAGTGCTGACAGCTCTTGACAAATGCAACTGGTATATTACAATGGGATTTGTTTTCCTCAGACGAGGTCCCATACTCCAAATGTAATGCATGGCAGTGATGTACAGTATGTTACATCTTAATACTTTTGCAGATGAATGTCATTGTGGGGTTTATGTGTATAAGAAGTGATAATAAAAGGATCATTCAGTTTATTATAGCTTGGGCCTTGTTTTCTTAGGCTTGGCCATTGTTTCTGTGGTAACCTTGGGAACAACCTTCACGTGTATTGCAGTTATGTTTATTAATTTGCTATATTGCTTCATTAACTACGTTTTAGTTCTGTGGTACTCTTTGTATACCCCCATGATCGACTCATCTTAAATGGTCAAAACTAAAACATATGTGAATAAAGAGAGATTAAATAAAACTTTTGTCTACTGCAAACTGTGAAAGAATTCTGAAAATGAGAGTAATGCAGTGCAGAGCCACAGCTGCAACCAAACACATCCAGAACTAGGCAACACTATTTAAACATTTAATGGAGGGTTTATAACAAACTATATTGTTTACGTTAGCAGATTTAGTGTTTATTATGCATTTACTGCCCCTGTGCGCCCCTATAAGCTGAAGCCGCTGAACAGATCTAATGAATGGCAATATAGCTGTGCACGGTTGTAAAAAGTTTCATACTTGACATTACTGACATTTGTTTGCAATAATAATAATAATAATAACTTGAATTTATATAGCGCCTTTCATAACCTCAAGGTCGCTTTCCAAAGAAACATACAAGGACAAGACATAAAACATAATAAAAACATAAACATAAAACAGGGGGCAGAAATGGAAGTGTAATTGGGGGGGGGGGGGGGAGTGAGTTATTGTTGGAAGGCGATGTTGAACATATGAGTTTTAAGGGTTGATTTGCAAGTATCATATTGTGTTATAATTCCCATTTAATGCAATGAGGATAATATTTGTATTATGCATTCCCTGTTGCGTTATAATGTGCCTGAAAACCCTGATTTTAATGTATTACAAATATGGGAATTATTATACACTATGACCCTTCAGCAAAAAATGTCAATGAATGAACAAAACAAGCTTTATAAACATGGGCGTCATAAAAAGTGATACCAAAATCACAGTCACCACTTATTGCTGTGTGCAAATACATTATAGTTATAAACCATTATTATTCTACATAGAGGGACTGGGACTGTGTTCAGCTGTAGAGTAGTGCAGGCTTGACGTATATTTGTACGACAACTCGGCTCCCTCAAAAAAAAAATGGGATTTTCCCATTGGATTTCGGTACATTGCAGAAAATAAGCTCTTTCACAAGCACACGTTTATGATACTTGGACATTTTGTGTAGCAGGATTATCTCCACATATTAACATTATAATAGTTGAAACAAAAATGCTATCACTATAAGTCAAACACGTAGCTATAACTACAGTACATCATGAACACATGACTTCACGTCAACGGCGCTAAGCTAAAGGCGGCTAATGTTCGGCGTTTAGTAGCCTCATTTCAACGCTAATTAGCAATCGCAGAATTTATGACATGTAAAAGCTGTAACAATATCGCTTCAGCTTTTATTAGAAACAGACCTTATGTGGGGAATCTAATCAAAAAAACATTGACTTCAAGATGAGCTAACCAGAAGTGCTTAAATGCTGACTCATTAAGGGGTTAGGACTCATTACTATTTTTGTGATTTTGTTGTTATTATTACTAATAGGAAGGATTTCCATAACTATAAAAATATGACCCAAGTTGTACAAAGGTTGGTCCTTAATAATGAAGGGAAGCTCTTTGCTGTCTTTGGTTGCTGCAGTATTTTGTTGTAATGAAAGCAGGGACCCCTCCTCTCCTCCGCTGGTTTCCTGTTGACCATCTCTTCTTAGAATGCAACAATGCAACCCCCCCCCCCCCCCCAATACCAACAAATTGATACAACTGATTGTGGAGAAGGGGCATGCTCCAGTGAGACGAAGTGATCCGACCACTGTTACAGATGAGTGTATGCCATAGAGCAGGGGTGGGGAACCTCCGGCCTCCGGGCCGTATATGGCCCGCGAGACAATTTGGTACGGCCCTCGAGGTAATTTATAAACACACGCAAAAAAGAAAAAAATGTAAGAAATCTAGACCGCAAAAAAATTAAACAAGTGAGTGCCTGTTTTTCCTGGCCAAGGTCAGGGTCCTTGAACACAACACGAGCCTAACGTGTCATCACGTGGTATATGTCTCGACTGACAGGGGTGCAGTTCTGACGGAGAGGACCAGAACCATAGATATATATAAAACACATGTTTATATATATCTATGACCAGAACGCCACTCCAGCACTTCAGACATTGCAGTACCGATAAGGAGCCGTACACATGCCGCAGTTTCTGCGTGGCTGTGTCTTTAGTTGAAAGCCCAGTGGGGATCTGCTCATCTGTCATACTGATCATACAGTCAATAACTTTGTTGTTATTAGCATCTGGCTATGCTAACGAATATAAGAAGCTTTTTATACAACCAGTGAGGTAAAGGCACATCTTTATATGATCATTATAGTTATAAAAAAATAAGAGAATAAAGTAAACAGGTATAAAATACTATATGACAGTAAAAAAACGTTGTTATTAATAAAGAAGAATACAGTTTGAAAGGAGAGTGATTTGTCAAATATTCATAAAGAAAAATAAATCTGCTTCCAGTTCTGTTTCATATGGGTGTTGAGAGATGTTTCCATAGATCTCCTAATTTTGCTCTCAAAGTGCACCAGATTGATGCTTTTAACTTCAACATTTAAAAAAATATCTTCCCGGGGGAGCATGCCCCCCGGACCCCCCGAGAGGAGGTTAGGTCCCCCCCACTTAAATCATGTTCACATGGATAGGAAACTAAATACATTTGCACACATCTTGTGTCCATATCTTTCTGTTTTGGTGGTCACGCCACAACCGTGCACATGCATGCATACGCGAGTCATGGTGAGATATCTGGATTAAGAGGTTGCTTTTTCTTTGCACAGAATGAAATGAATGGGCTGTGATTTTAGTTTTTTTAAGCAGAGGTCAATAATTTGTATGGCCCTCTGAGGATATTGTAAAAATGTAAATGGCCCTTGAGAGGAAAAAGGTTCCCCACCCCTGCCATAGAGGGAAGGAGATTATCAATCCTGGTCTCATGGGGCCCCCCTGCTTCCGCATCCTCCCCCTTAGCAACACGTGCAGAGATGTGCAGAGGCGACCCCTCCATGTTTGAAACATCTTTATCTGGTTATCTGTTAGGGGTGGAACGGTTCACAGAATTCACGGTTCGGTATGTACCTCGGTTTGGGAGTCACGGTTCAGGTTCGGTACAACAAGAAAAAGCAAACAAAAGTCCCAAATGCATAATTCCAGGTTTGTTGTTATTTATTTTTGGAAAGTAGTGCAAGTTTCAGTATACAAATAAGGAACTCTAACATTTTGAATAATTAACTGTATTACACAGTTAAAAACAAACCACAAACAGCACACACACTCAGATGGCCATATTATCCATAGCCTAATGGCTGATGTCAAACGTATTGGCTTCTTAAAAACAGCGGGGATCAGCTGCTGCTGTCTTTTGCCGGGCTCCGGTGATTGGCAAATCTGCGTGATGCCTTCTGATATGATTTAGCATGTTTGGCGTGTGTTTGCATTCGCATACCGCACCGCTGTCTAACAACGCCAACACACCGTCCTCGTCCGATCCACCACTCGCACTCCATCGCTGTTGTAGTCCACAGGGAACCCGACATTTTCCCACACAGCTGAAGCACTCGCAGGTGGTTCTTCTAGCTCCTGTGTGTTATCTGAAATCACCATACTAACTTTTCTTCTTCTTGTATTTTGTTCGTTTTGTTGTGTTTTCTTCTTGTTCTTCATTTGTTGTTTAAGGGCGGCTGGCAAACAGCTTTTAGGCGCAATACCACCCCCTGGATTATATAGTGTAGTGGATACTGCCCTAAGTGACAGACTTTTTTCCCACTCATAAAAAAAGGCGTATTCGTTGTGTGACTGCATGAACCGAGCCATGACGGTTCGGGACGAATACAGATACCGTTACACCCCTATTATCTGTGTGTGCTGCCTGTTCTGTATGCCATGTGTGTTCTAAATATATACCAAGCAATATGAGCGGTTCAGCAGAACAATCAGTGGCTGTGTCTTGCCCTGTGTCCACCACAGAATAAACAACATTGCCATGCCTGCAAAAACAGCTGCTGTCTGTCGATGTCTCATTTATTTAAACTGTCAAAGTACTGGCTCCTGGTTGTATATGTATGCAGCATGTAATCATGTCTCCAGGCTAGCTGCTGATGAGCCCATTCCTCAGCCCAAAGCAGAAAACATGTGAGACCCAGGGTTACTTTATCACCAGATGAATTACATCTGTTTCCTCTCCTTCTCCTCGGTACCAGCTTGGTATGAGCAGGGGGTGAGTGATGGAGTGGCATGGGGAATTCCCCAGCTGCAATTAACCTCAGCAGAGCCTCCTGAAAATGTTCCCTTCTTATTACATTTCATGGTTCCTTCCAGGCAGGTATGCAGTCCCTTGCGATCTCTTTTAATTTAACTGGTTATTTACAAGATGGCTTCTGGGTTTCTAACAGCTCATAAAGCTAGCTAGCAGGACCTCCTGCCCTCTGCAGCAGACGCACAGGAAGGTACACTATTCCCAACTGGCCCCTATACCCCCCCTCCACCCCACTTCAACTCCCTTTGCACGTATACATGGAGGCTCTGTCACATTAAGGCTCTTCCAAATCAACTAGTGGGGAGTGGGACTTATTGAATCCTCCATCAGGAAGTTCTCAAACCCCCCAACAGTAAGTTATGAAACCCCCCAACAGGAAGTTATTAAACCTTCCAACTGGAAGTTATTAAGCACTCCAACAGGAAGTTATTAAACCTTTTAACGGGGAGTTTATAAACCCCCCAACAGGAAATCATCAAACACTCCAACGGGAAGTTATTAAACCCTCCAACAGGAAGTTATCAAACACTCCAACAGGAAGTTACTAAACCCTCAAACAGGAAGTAATTAAACCCTATAACAGGAAATGATCAAACCTTCCAACAGAAAGTTAATAAATCCTCAAGCACGAAGTTTCAAAACAGGAAGTTATTAAACATAACTTCCTGTCATGTTTTATAACTTCCTGTTATGTTTTATAACTTGCGGTGGACCAACTCGCGCTTGCGCAGTGCAAATCGGGTAGCCGTGCAAATCGGGTAATAACTAACCCTACAACAGGAAGTCATTAAACCCTCAAGCAGGAAGTTATTAAACCCTCCAACAGGAAGTTATTAAACTGTCCAACAGGAAGTCTGCATCGGTTCTGATTAACCAGCTATTCTACCTGAATATGTGCAACACGCTGTTTGCAAA